ATTTCGCGAGCTCGCGCGGGCTATGACCCGTCGGGAGAATAAAAAGCCCATTTGCGGCGAAAAATCATTTGCGCGGGTCATAGGGCGCGCTTGTTCGCGCGGGTTTATCGAGCTGTTGATACGCGGTTTAACACGGTATCCTATGTTGGCAAAATGATTCGTTTCGCGGATGAGTAATCGGCATATAAAAATTGTTATATCGCATTTCGAAAAAATTAGTTCTCATTCAAGTATTGTTACGATTGTCGAGATTAATAGCGTTCACATGTTAATGATTATTGCGAAAGCATTGCAGGTAAGAGAGCAAAATGTTAGGGGAAAAATGTACAATTTGATAAATCATATTCCTTACATGTTCATTCTCTTCATTTCGATGATTTTCGATGATTTTCGATATTTATAAAATTTTACATGGTAAGATTAACATGTGACAGCGTTATCTTCCACTCTTAATGCGATCGAGCTGTTTTTATCGTTATGATTTTGATATAAATGCAAACATAATATCGCAATGAAAAATACGCAAGGATGGCGGATGCAAATGATAATGTTCAGGGTTGTCAAATTGAAAACACAATTGAGTTGATGCAAGTAATATATATATATATATATATATATGTGTATATCTATCTATATACATAAGTGTACGTATGCAATATAATCTAATGACGTAACATATGTACAAACATATGTATATGTATTGTAGGATATACGATAATTTCTATAATTCACGATAATTTGTAAATTGATACATTAATCGTTTCTATTTACAAAGTTTGTATACGTAAGAATTCGCTTTATAAAAAGATAAAATGCGTCTCGGCATCAAAAGGAAATATAAGATGCAAAACGAAGATTTTGTGAAATCATCACTTTATTTATCAGTCCTTCATGCTAGACAATCTTCATTCGCGACACAATAATTGAAAATAAAATTTTTATAATTTTATGTGCCGCAAAACATAGAAAAAATTTGAAGAATACACATACAAATATTAACTACATATAAGCATTACTTCCGATTGAGTTTTAGATATTTTTCGAACACATAATTTTTAAATGTTCATGCGTAATAACTATCAAAACAAATAATTAAAAAATCCAGAGCTACTCAAATAGCTTGTTTAGTGAGATAAAAAAGTCAGAGTTAAATTTAAAAAAAAAATTATAATTTAAGGATAATTTGCCAAATGTTTGTGTCATACAGCACATAAAATTATAAATAATTTTTTTTTAATTATAAACCGAATTCTATTTCTATAAACTCGCATAACGTATATATTGCATGCTGAAACAGGACATTTTCGAATCTTTTAAAAGATTTTAGATTGTATGAATATGCTGCGCTGTGTCGTCAAATAGCTCTCGAATCATAGTTTATCTTTGTATCTATCATTAATTTTGTTACAAATATAAAAAGAAAAATAGTTATTAACGGATGGTTATTGTTATCTAATAAATAATTATCCATTTTACTTTTAACATTATTTTCGAAAACGAACGACGGTGATTGCATGGCATTTGCACGCAGATAATCAAATAGAAAATGCAAAAAAAATGCCATGCAATTTTGCAATTGCTATCGTTATTTTTCGAAAATAATGTCAAAAGTAAAAGCTCGATCTAAATGGATAATTATTTATTAGATAACAATAACCATCCGTTAATAACTATTTTTCTTTTCATACTTGTAACAAATTAATGATAGACACAAAGATAAACTACGATTCGAGATTAATATTTATCATAAAAGACACGATATTGAACAGAGCATCCTACATTTCGTACAATCTTCTCTTTCTCGCACCCGAGCATGTACTTCTAACGTCTCTTATCACAGGCTGAAATCGCAATTATAACAAGCATTGATTCAGATTTAGTGCATGCACGCAGTCTCTTCAATTACTCTTCGTTATTAATTTTCGCACGCATACAACAAAAGCAATTGAAACATTAGAAGCAACCGTGTAGATGTTTCTGATGTTGAACAATATACAGAATACGCGAGTCATCTTTGTATATAAAAAAACTAACAAAATGTTAAGTACTCGCGTGGTGGGCAATCGTTCAAGTTACATCCAAATATTCTTTTTCAGGCAGATTCAAAAATGTAACTATAGACAATTTCGTGGCAAATCTCGTGAAAGACTTTCCATTAAACAACAAACACATAAACAAAGGAAAATTTATTTAGCGTATCAAATTAACTTGAGAGTACTTAACAGTTGAGCTGGATGTCAGTTATCGTTCGGACATTATCGTAAGTCGTTTATAATTAACCATTCGCACAGTAAGCTCTACGTAAGAACATATAACAAATCGCGAATAAGTATTACAATGGTATATGATGTGGTGGCGGTGATAATAGTGAGGTATTAGTGGTATTGTTTCGGCGGCGGGAGGGGAGGGAGAAGGGGGGGGGGTCAAAAAGTGCAAAGGCGACAATGAAGAATATGGGATCGAAATAAGGTGATCGGAATCTAAGTCGTGAATTATTTCTTACAATTAATTATAATAAACTGCTAAATAATAATATAATTAAAAATAATCATGATACTAACAATTGATATTAGGTACCATAGTAAAAATAATAATGGTGAAGATCGTAAGCTATTTCGGTAGAACATATAATTTTATGCAATCGGAAAAAAAAAAAAAAAAGAAATTGTTATTTGTTTGTCTTGAAAACGGAGCTTATTTTGTAAGTTTGTTTTTGCACTACAAATAAATTGTCAATAACATACATGCATAATTATATTGTATCTTCACCGGGTTTTTTTTTCTTTTTATCGTATACATCACTACAGCCGTCGTAATATTCATTACACAGTTTTCCGAAAAAATACTAGCGTCAAAACAAGTCTTGCCCAGCTCCTGAAAAATTCGATTCTATTTCTACATTTTTTCAGGAGGCGAACAGCGACGAGTAAGATTACGTATCGCGGAAATGCACATATCTCATCTTTCTTCCGTACGTCTCATATATACAGATATCTATCTACAAATATATACATCCGCACAAATTCACGTCCAGCACATTTCTATAGGTCGTGTGCAAATATGACACTTTTAACACTTGAAGCATATAACAAGTTAGACTCCTACTGTCACTATGTGATCGTATAGTGACAATGTTATTTCTCTGATATGGATTTTAATAATTAGAATAATAAATGATAAACAATTATTTTTGCCAATAATATCATGAAGTAGATGTCAAGGCAAATATGCCTTCTAAAAAAAGAAATTCGACTGTCATTCAAAAAAGAATTTCAATTACTTTTTATAACATATAAGATTGTTTGAGATACTCCATTTTATATTATTATTAAATTGCATATGTGTAAAAATGTCTAATTTGTTCATGAGCCATATGTGCACACAACAGTCAAAAATTAATGAAGCTTTCATTTTGCAATATATATTTACATATGATTTGTAACAATATTTTAAAAGCTATTTACGAATAACGTTATGAGTAAAACGAGCCTTCCTGCGTGCCAGGAAAGTCAAAGAAATTACTTCTCATTTCTTTTCACATTAAGAGTCGTAATTTCTTCCCTAATCCAATGATGATAATCCCTATCGCCGATGCTGGACGCGGAAGTGAATTTTAAGCAGATGGAGAATGTAGAAGTAGAGCAATAACATTTCATTCAGTTCTTGACAAGCAAATAAAACATAAAATATAAACTATAGCTAAGGTGATTTGGAAAATCGAAAATCGAAAGCCATGGAGCTGATGCCTGGGTCTAAATGCCGGAGAAAAAAACTGATCCGTATTTTTCGTAGTATTCGAGTAAGTAGGACTTCTCTTTGGTAAAGTCAATTTTGCGAGAGCACGCTTGCAAATATTCAACGTCGATGCCTTCTACGTTGAATATCTTCGTAAATATCTCCTATGTCGTCGATATAATTGCGGAATAAGTACGACGTAGTTGATTACAATGTGTAGCCTGGTCGACAATGATCGAGAGAATCTTTCATGAATGCGAACGATTCTCTCTTAAGCACTAAGGTAGCACTAAGGTGTCAATTCATTTTTCTCTCTCCCTCTCATTGTCTCCATTTTTGCTCTTTTTCTCCCACTCTCTTTACCGCCCTCTCTCTCTCTC